ACTAGCTGTGCCCGCGACTTCGTTCGCGTAGAATAGTGACTATGAGCAGCGTTTTTTTTTTAAATATATACTTATTTTTATTTTAGATTTGGATCATAATCACAGTCATTTTGGGTAGCTAAAAAACCTACTTTACTGTAATGCTTCTCTATATACAATATTAGACGTATGGCCATCGGGGGTGAAAGCATACAGGCTGCTGGGATTGCTAACACGGGACAGAGCCACATACAATTGACCGTGCGAAAAACAGCTGATACTTAGATCTATACCCACAACTTTTAGAGTCTGACCTTGAGCTTTATTAATTGTCATGGCAAAACATAGGCTCACTGGAAACTGAATTCGTTTAAAATTAAACGGAAAATTTTTTTGAATGAGAGGAATCTGAGGAATAAAACCACTATCACCTTTTCCGCACCCTGTTAAATATATATATATTTATAAGCCATTTCTGAGATTAGCGTGAACAGACAAACAGACAAACAGACAAAAAAAAAGTTAGTTACATTTTTGGGTTCGACATCGACATAACAATAACCCCTGCTATTTTTTTTATTTTTATTTTCAATGTACAGACAGCACTTTTCTACAATTTTATTATATGTATAGATAGATATAGATAGATACATAGAAGATAGATATAGATGTATAGAATAGATGTATATTAGAGGTATATAAGCATAGAATGGTGTTCGACGTGATTCTTTAATTTGACATAACTTTTTTATTTATGAACCGATTGACATGAAACAAACACTAAAGCATAACTGAAGCATACCACAATATATTCGTGAAAACCGCATTCAACTCGGATAAGCCGTTTCTGAGATTAGCGTGAACAGACAAACAGACAAACAGACAAAAAAAAAATTAGTTACATTTTTGGGTTCGACATCGACATAACAATAGCCCCTGCTATTTTTTTTATTTTTTTTTTCAATGTACAGACAGCACTTTTCTACAATTTTATTATATGTATAGATGGGATAGAATATTAAACATATTTGTAGTGAATTAATACAGCACATAATTCGATGTGTGATGAGCATTTACAAAATGAGCTCAAGGTTGTTATGACGTAAAGTAACATGGTATTTCAAATAATATTTGGATGGACGCTCGGAGATTGATCTAGTACCTACTACACAGCAATTGTTCTTTAGATGTATACTAATTAAAATATGAATAATTTATAAACAAATACAACTATCCATAAACGCCAAAAATGTATCTACGACTAAGTTTTCATAAGGAAAATAACGAAATTCGCCAAAGAACTAGAGTTACCGACACGACATAGCTCGCGAAATCTGTAGACTGAAGTGGCAATGGGTAGGCTACGTCGCTCGACGGACTGACGGCAGATGGGCCAGGAAAATCCTTGAGTACCACGGCCTGGAAGAGGAAGCATGGGCAGGCCTCCCGCTAGGTGGACCAACGACATCGCCAGAATTGCGGGGAGCCAGTGGATGCAAGTGGCGAGTTTTCCTTCGACCGACGTGGAGAACCAACGGGAGGCGTTTGTCTTCTCCAGCAGTGGGACATCTTTCGGCTGTTGATGAAAATGATGATGATGATGTTTTTATAGCCCCCAAACATGTAGAAAAGAATGAAAAAGTTAACACTATTGCGGTACACATCGGTATATTATCCAGACACTGTTTTGATCCATTTCTATCAGTTGAAAACAGTAATTTAATTAAACCATGCATGACGTAAAATGTTTCAGAGTTTATTTTGATTTCGTCAGATGATTACAAAGATTCCGATCTCGTTTTTACAACATGATGGTTTTGCGTAAACGAGAAATAATTCGACTTTAGTATAAACATGAAAACGTAGTAAATACTTTCAATGTTGATAAGCACCTACATTTACATAGAGTTTATTGGCTTATTTTACTTTTTATTGGAGTAGATGCCACATATATCTTTATATATATATTTCTGTTACCACCAAACTATGTTACATTTTGTAGTAAATCTAATATGACACCCCTTAGTACCAACTATCTGGTTAAGAATACTATCATTTAAAATTAAGTAGGTAGCCTTATTATAAAACTACAGAAAATGAAAATGCTAGTAATATGTGATAATCAGGTAGTCAGGTATTGAATGATTATAGTTAGCGAGAAAAATTCTAAATAAAAGTAACAATAAAAATATATACTTTTCATAATTATCCACACAAGAAATAAACTTAAAAATGTTGATAAAAGTTTCAATCTTAAAACATTCACGTCAAGGGTTCCCGCGCAAAATCAACAAACTGTACAAGCTAGTTAACTAGCGACATCTATTTTGGATTGCCAGAAACTCAAGAAGGGCGCTGCTGAGTAGCTTCCAAAAGAGAACCCTTGTAGAAAATTGAAAGCAACGCTATCTATCGGGAAATAGCGCTCCTTCGGCATACATCGCTACAACGACATCTGGCGGCAGAAAGCTGAGACGTTGGAAAAGCATTTTCAAGTACCAATCTGTTTGCAGTTGTAACCAAGGAGAAGAATTTTCCTCTTGTTGAAATTTTCTTTAGAATCACGTAGAGAGCGCTGTAAAAAGTTCAACGGATTTATTACAGAAACAGAGCTACAAGTTGTTCTGTGTGCAATTTGACTTTTAGCTAAGGATGTTGACTTGATCTTCAGGAAATAAAGACTTTAGACGAATAAATATGTCAAGCCCAACACAAGTATTGTATAATAACCAGTGATCGGAAAAAGGTGCGGTTTCTTTCTAGCTTTTGTCACGATTTTAGGTTTTTGTTAATTTTGGTGTTGAATAATTTTATTTTATGATCTTTCTTACATCTTAAAATATTTATTGTTGAAAACAATAAAAGTTTTAATTTTGTTTGGTTTTGTGTTAAATTTAAGAAATAAAATCACGAAACGAAATCAATTGTTTTCTGAATTAATAACAATTATATTAAATGTAATATATAAATATCCCGAAACTGGAACCGGAACTTTCCCGAAAAAAAATATTGTAGTAAGGAAGTCTCCACTTTTTTGTTTTTGTTCCTTGAAGTTTAGGTAAATTAGCTCACCTTTTTCCGATCACTGGTAATAACTTACTGGGACTGCCTCAATGTTAAACAAATATTGTAATTCTTGAGATAATAAACAATTTGAACTTGAAAAAAATAGTAATTTTAAAACGTTCCCAAAAATAAAAAAATCCAGGGTACCTACTCTAAGAATCGAGTTATTTCGGAATAACCTCCGAAATAACCCAGTTATTTCGGAGCTTAATCTAACAATAAACTAACAATCAAATCTCAATAATATATGAATATATTGTATATATTTAAAGTATTCGTACTAGTAGTACGAATACTTTAAATATATACAATATATTCGTAATATATATATAATATATATATAATATATACAATATATATATACAATATACACGTCGCTGTATCAACGTGAACCAATCGTCCATGTCGATGCAGCGACCGTCAGGCAGGGTGCAATGTATAGGTATCTAGACTTCAAACTTCATTATTATGAGGCTATAACAACGGAGTCGCGGAGAACCTAATGGGTTACCGGGGCTCCGGCTCGAAGTGCAGGAGTAGAAACGGGGTGGTTTTTAGTCAGTAAAAGTCTGACACTCCCTTCCGTCTCATTATATAGTTATAAAGTCATAACAAATCTTGTACAGGTTTTAGGTAGATCTTATAAACCTCACCGGCGCGTATTACTAACATAATTAACAAACGTATCGTTCTACGACTTTTCGAAATTCAATCTTCTTATAATTGCGAAAGCCTTAATTATCAAATTAAAATATATCATGGCGAGACTAATAAGAAATGGTCATAAATGCGTATTACGTAAAGCGATATAAAACATATTAGGTACTTACAAAAAGCAAAAAGTTTCAACCTTTTTTAAAGTCCACTACAAACACTACGAATTAACAAAAACCCCAGCAAGTTTTCCCTTCAATAACACCGCATTAGGCATCCGGATCGTTTACAATAAATCACTTAAATCTGCGACATTAATCAAACAATAACCGGTAGAAATTGGATCCTCACCTCATCATAAGCTTTTAGAGATCCTTTGTGAGCTAAAGAGCTCTGACATAACGTGTTATCAAATAAAAGAAAGGTGTGAATTTTCACAGGCGGTTATCGAAGCCCCACCTACTTAAGATGGCGCCATCCCCTCCACGTACCAAACAACCAGTAGCGTTAGAGGATCTCATCTCGTTCATACCTACAGCCTCCGCAGACGATTGCTTGGCACCACCTATTTTCGGATGCAATTATCAGTTTCCGGCAAACTCGAGGCAAAGAAATTTAGTGTCGGTTTTAATCTCGGCGGCAAACGTTTGAATGTTGAGTAAAGTGCCAATGTAGATAGGTGTAATGATTTAAGTGGGGAGCCTATTTAAGAACATGAAGTTATAAATATTAAACTTATCTTAGCAATCATGGATACGACAGACGATATTTCTAGTACTTGTGAAAACGATTATGTTCGTAACGCAGATAATAATGGCGTGTTGTGCGGTGCTGAAAGAGACTCAAGTTATGATTGTGAATCAGAAACGGAATACGATAGTGAAAATGAAACGATTGATATTTGTGACAACAGTGAACAGTCCAATCATCGAAACGTGGAAAACAAAAACATTAAAAACGTAATAAATCCTTTACTGAATGCCGATAAATTGTGCTTTTTTGAACAAGGTCGAGTAATATTTCCAACGAAAACATTTGACAATTTAAGAAATCTTCGCAATGGAAGTGAATCATCTCGTAATAGTGCGAAAGATTCTGTGAGCAGTGTGATTCATGGCAAAAGTAAAACTTTTCTTATAGACAGTATTTTAGGTAACAATAAAAGTAACAGTTCTAAAATTGTTAGTAATAAAAATCTGGACGATGTTGACAACGTTGAAGAAAGTACGGATGAACACAACGGTAAGGATATTTTCATATACTTTTTAGTGATTACTAAAAAATTATTAATCTCTTAATAAAATACAACAACTTCTTAATAAACCAGAAATAATTCATTACAAAAATTAATTAGGTACAACAAAATAACCCGTGGACTATGTACTCTAGGTAGTTTTATTATGATTATCAATCCTAATAGTTTCATATTATAGCGTTAATTTTATCTAAATGTATGTTTTCGTGTATGCAAAAATATATTTTTTCTAAGATCAGACTGATACAGGCTATTTCTATTTTTAGTTTGAATTTAATGCTGTGAATACATGTATATAAATTTAAAACCCAAATCTTACATGATTGGTAGGTAAAATCTATATTGTAAAGTCAGTTTTATAAGTAATTGTCAACTTTTGAAAGAAATAACTTTTTAAAGGCGAAAAATTAAATTTAAACATGTCTGTCGCTCATTCAACGAAACTTTAGCTTTGTCAAAGTATAGATTTATAGACGGCAACGAAGAAACTACATAGTGCCTCTAATCCTATTTTATTTACTTCTAACATGTTTCTAAAATCTCATATAATGATACGACGAAATTTAAAATAAAAAAACCAACCATAAATGGTACATTTTAAAAGTGTTACAAATATTGTAAAATAAAAATAAATTAATTTTATTTACGTCTAAAACAGGAAAACTGAGGAATTTTAACTAAGAAACAGTGAAAATTACTATATAGGTACATATGTGTCTGAAAATGTGATTTTTATCATACACTATACGTACTGAAAATCTTGTCCCATTTTACTTAAAACAGAAATAGAAAACAGAATTATTTGTAGCAAAAAACTACATCTTTTCTCTTTATAAAGTTAGCTCAGATTACTCAAAGATTAGTCTTATTTTTATGTAATTAGTATTCACTGGGTTTTGGGATAAAATTAACTGTTCGTACGTCTATCAAACAACCTGTGAAGCTGCTCATTCCGAAGAATCGAATCTTGTAGAGAAGGAAGAAAAACACCGTCGTTTTTTTAAATGTTATAATTTAGTTACATTATCAAGATCTCAACGTTTTACTGTGAACTGATTATCCTGCAAACTATTATTTTATTCCCACAGTATCATCAACATCGACGTGTCCGGACCTGAACGCGTTGAATGACGCAGGATTGCTCGCGGGACATGCGTACGCACATTGGCTTGCTACGCATCAACCCTCCGCTGCTCTTTACGGCAAGTTTTTATTTAGTACTATCTTCTGCCCACGACTTCGTACGCGCAATCCCGTTTTACCCCATTCCTGTAGGATTTTCAGGATTTTTTCTGTCATAAGAACCTTCTCCTGACAATAAAAAAAATAGCCAAATCGGTCTAGCCGTTCTCAAGTTGTAGCGTGACAACAGGAAACGGGTTTCATTTTACATATGCACATATATAGATTCCGGGTTTAGATAAAAAAACTAACCACGCTACTTTTATTTACCTAATATACAAAACACCGAAGACAGAAATCCAGTAACTTTAGAAGTTGCTTAAAATTTATAGAATAATAAATTAGTTGTCTTCATCTCACTTACACATCTACAAATCTAAAAGACATAATATCTAAGTGGAATTATTAAAACCCAAACACCGATGATAAACCAGGAGCCCATTGAACACCATAAACTATTAATAAAATAACATAAGTACCGTGCATGCGTGTTACAATCGCGTGCAACTCCACCCGGTGTGAATCTTCGCACGCCTAATTCGCACGCAATCATCCCTCGCACATAATATCTAATTGTTTATATTATTTATTCATCATTATTATCATTACTTGTATCATATGAGTGAACTGAACGTTTATTTCTCCTTTGTATCAAGTTCTGCAAAACTTTTTGTGCTTACTTAAACTGTCGAACACCAAGCGGTCACCGGTGACCGCAACCTATTGTTCTATAATTGTGTCTACAAAACCGGTACTCGACGAATTAAATTGCAAATGTATACTCGTTCTTGTCTTCAATAGAGTCTTCAATAGGTTTAACTCGATGTGTCTATTTGCCCTATTATTTTGCCCTCTACAGCCAGTTTAGAGTGATATCATATTCATGATTAGATTCAGATCCACTCATACTTTCTAGGCTTATGATGATAACTCTCTTGACTTACGTGACCATTTTAAGATGTTTACAAGAATAGTTCTGTCCCTACAAATTGTTTGTAAAACGACAGAGACAGCACAATATTTAAGTCCTACTTAAAATTGAGTAGCATTTCAATATGCATTGCAGTATGTATGTTAACCACGACTGAACTGACTCATAGTTATGCGATTGTAGTGTCACTGAAAAACACGTCCAAAGATACTAAGGTTTACAAAACTTCGCGGTAACTCCGCCTCTTTCTTGTTACACTTTATTTAAGTACCTTAAACCGAGTTATATTGAAGTTAGGACAGGGTAGTTTAAAACTATAAGAGCTGAAATGCAGAAATCTTCTGAATTTCTAACTGAGGTATTTTAATGGGACAAGCCCGCCACAACCTCCCAAAACCGCTGCAACTCCTGTAAGCCAGGATCTACTATCGATACAACCATGAAAATATCGGAACACTGAGGTCCGGCGCGTCCCAGGGACATGAATAAGGGTTTTGGTTCCCGCAACGAAATAAATCAAAAGAGGACGATAAAAAACAATAGTTTAAACTCCCCTCGGTGAATTAAGGTACTGCAGGAGACAGAATGAATTAAGCCTAAAGGCACAAAAAGAGACTGCACAACTGGGAGGACTCCAGTCGCTAAGCACTATGGAATTTGACTAAAAACTAAGTAGGTCCTATGTGCAAGTTATTATACTTCCAATAATAGGTATGACAAAAGGGCCTAAACGAACGGAATAGATTCTAGATGGTCCGTATAATGAACTATACCAGACGAAACAATTAAATTATGTAGATAACATCGTGTTACGTTAATAGAGGTAATAGGTAATACATTACTTCAAGCCTGTCTCCCATGGGGCTATATATCCGTCTAGGGCATCGCCTACCGAAGACCCCATTTATATCCGGTCTGTATACTTCTTTCATTACTCTACTTTCCTACCTACCTTGTGGAATCTAGAACGAATTTCCGTGTGTTTAGGCGTTTTTGCCATACCTATTATTGGAAGCAAGTATAACAGCTCACACATAGGACCCACTTAGTTTTTAGTCAAATTTTCGTGGTGCTTGGCGACTGGGCTTCACCCAGTTGTACAGTCTCTTCTTTATGCCTTTAGGCTTAATTCATTCTGTCTCCTGCAGTAATTCACCGAGGGAAGTGAAAACCATAGTTTTTTCTTCTTCTCCTCTTATAATATCTTCTGATTCACTTCGTTGCGGGAACCAAGACAGTTACTCATGTCCCTGGGACGCGCCGGACTTCAGTGTTCCGGTGTTTTCATGGTTGTATCTACTGTAGATCCTGGCTTACAGGAGTTGCAGCGGTTTTGGGAGGTTGTGGCGGGCTTGTCCCATAAAAAAAAATCCTTCCTACGTCTCCAAACCAGGGTAACATTCCCTTTTCAATCCTACGTGAGGTAGCTTAGAATTATTGGGATATGCCTATCGGATGAAGTCAAAAATATGAAAATATTATTGAGGATAAGACACTATTTTGTAACCACCCAATTTTAATTGTTTGACGCAATATCCAAGATTCACAGCAATCTATATTATACTGCCTAACTCTACGCTTATAATATCTACATAATTATGGTTAATCTACAGATTAAATACAAAAAAAAAACATGTCAGTATTATATTATTAAGTGAATAAAGAAGCAAATGAGCTTCAAAGTAAAAAAAAATCTGTTGGGTACGGAAAAACCATAAACGGTATTTACCAACAATTAAGGTGAATCATTCCTGAAGTCGAAACAAAGAAAAAACATAAAGTCAATCTGTATATTTATCATCAAATTTGTCACATGTCTTGACTCGGCAGCGAGGAGGAATTTCGGTGGCTATAAAATTAGTGTGAGTGTGTAATGTCCGGGAATAGCCCGGGGGTCCGAACTCAAACTTTCTATGTCAACTTGTGACACTATAACGTTGACATTTGACATTCTTTGACTTTATGTTAAGCTGTTTGTAATAGCTGAACAGCAATAAAAATTAAAAACGATTTACCTACCTAATTCAGAAACACCTATGTATTTTTCTTTCTTAGATTCTTTTTCTTTGCCCAATATATCTTGATGACGTTTTCTTAACTGTTAAAGTTCGTGACCAAACTGTATTTCTTGTAAATAAATTGTGCAAATTAATTCGATGAAACCGCAAATCGACCACTTATCAGTTTTCTAAAGTAATTATTTGTACACTAATCTTCAACAATTGAAGGATTTTGCAAGTTCTTCACGACAGGAAATAGGCAATAAAGGAGATAACCAAACCATCTGTGAATCTGTGAAAATATTACATTCAGTGACACACGCAGGCGTAGGTACTTTGTAAAACTGGTGTTAACATGGTTTGTTGACCGTTGTAACTAATTGTAACGCCCAACAGGTTGGTTACACATAGCGTTATGGTTCGCGCGATTAGTACGAGCGCACATTCGACGAAATGTCCCCAGCCGTCGGTCGGTGGTCGCGACTTCGCACCGAGGTGTCGGCAAACAGCTGCCGCGACGATAATTACCAACAAAGCTCTCGTGTTTGTGCATCGTCTTAACACGAACCCCGCTGTGATCGAATTCTATCCAGAAACTCAGTTTACACCATGTCTCTATGCACTACGTACCGAGAAATAGGCTTTGTCAACAACGTTAATTTTTATAGGAATTTTGTTATGGAACTTTATATTTAGATGCACGTGCATGACTTCAGAATTTGTCTAGTTACAATGAGATAACTTTAAATATTTGAGGCTGCCTCTTTTCTGTGTTAACTATGTATAGATACTCTTACTTTTCTAGGTTACCCTTATACAATCTTATGGCACTGAACACACACACAGTCATAACCCTAAATTTTGAGTCTTACTTCTTATATTGAATAATGACAGATAATGATCCTTTTTTGGAAATGCTAATTTCTTAACGAAGGCCCATCTTGAGAAGAAAGGCCAATAATGCGATAACATTTTCTCGTAAGTAACACCCCCAAAAGTAAAGAAAGTTACACAAGTTATAGGTACTAAATAATCAAATACGTGTGTCACGACTTATGACCTGACTGTAGCAAGACCGTTCTACAAATTAAAAGAAGCCACAAAAAGTTACTATGAACTCACCCTGACACAATTTCTTTTAAGAGCCTTGAATATTGCAAAAGTTGGTGCAAATAGCTTACAAAACGTTATAAAAATAGTGCACATACATATAGGTAGATAGCTAGGATTTTGTTTTTTTAAGGGGGGAAAATTATCGAATGACTTCTCCCTGGGTGAGGCGAGAGGGAGTGTAAGAATCTTACTGACTAAAAACCATCCTGTTCCTACTTCTGCACTTCGAACCGGAGCCCGGCAACTCGTTAAATCCTCCGCGGCTCCTTATCGTCATCAGCCACCAGACCACTAGCTAGCCATGCTCGCCGTCTGCAGGCCTAAGGTGGACGGAGATCGTCCCGTGATCCCCGACGCCCGGAGCGCTACTTCGCGACGGGTGGGTTATGAGGAGGCAACGCTTCGCTGCTTCACGCGCCTCTCCTCCTCCTTAGAGATAGCTAGGATAGGAAGGAATTATAGTAACAAAGTCATAGATTGCAAACATAAAAATGAAAGAACCATAAAAGTGGTAACAGAATAGGTAATTAGTAGACGGGGAAGAAAGATTATAATAAATTTTACCCGTACATAGAACAGTTTCAAATCATTTACATAAGTAGGTACTTCAATTTGGGTAAACTTAAATTACATTAACTAACGGTACATAACTCAAGATTCAGGTGTAAATCAATATTCAATTGAGTGTAACTTAACAACACCATTTTCCTTTTTGTTATAATAAGTTTTAAAATGGCTGAAGAGTCTGGAGGATCATAAAACGGTTACGTAAATAGTTAGCGGTCGATTAGCACGACCGGGCGCACATACATACACCAACCACAATGCGGTGTTGACACGCGAGATGTCAAACTGCGCAGGCGAAACACAAACAGACTGATTGTGTTTATAGCCACTTAACGAGAACCTGTGACAATTCCGATTAGTGTTCGAAAAAACTTTACTACGTATTTGTTTTAGCGAGAGCAGCTACTTTGTAAATGAAGGAGATGCTTTCAAAACCTCAAAACTATGAACACGCTGTTTTTTATTCACACTTACGAAACACCAAATTAAAACTTGCTTATCATGCTCTTTTCTTTGTAGATGACAAGAATAATAGAAGACCACGTCGAGCGGGACCGGAGAGAAAGCCACGACAAGCGTATAGTGCTAAACAACTTGAACGTCTGGAGGCAGAGTTCAAGATTGACAAATATCTCAGCGTATCAAAGAGAATGGAGCTGTCCAAAGCTTTAGGACTTACAGAGGTGCAAATAAAGACGTGGTTTCAAAACAGACGAACGAAATGGAAGAAGCAGTTGACGTCTCGGTTGAAAATAGCTCAGCGACAGGGATTGTTCCCGGGACAAATCTTTGGGCACGCTCCACCAGCATACTCTCTACTAAACCCATATGCTTATACACCGCTTAGCTGTGTTTTTACACCGGTAACTTTACCTTCTTCGCCACCGTAGTTACATAATTTAGGAACCTAGTAATAGGTGTTGGTGTGTAAATGATAAACATGATACAGCTTTTACAAATAAGAAAGTTTGTTGCTGAAAGTTTGTAAAAAAGATGACGTTTGTTGTTCGATCATGTTTGAAAAATGAATGATGTTTATATAGATTTCACCTAGTATGGAATACTATTCTAAATAATTATAAACCAAGTGGTCGATGTCACCCATAAGAACACACACATTAAGTGACGGCGCTTCTGTTAACGACACAGGCTCTACGTCTTTAGGTAGGTACCATCAATTGGCATTGGAAAAAACCTGGTTACCGGTCACCTATTTGCTAAATTTTAATGTCAGTATAAAACAATTTGTTATTAATGGTATTTAAAATAACATCAGTATGTTACATTCTCATTCAAGTGTCACTCGTTGTAGGATAATCTCATTGATAATTCTGAACGTATTCGCTGTGACTGTAAAAACAGTTGATTCTTATTTTAATAGCTTTATGGTATTTCGTCATTGCAACACTAGGTTTGTTCTATTTCATTAATGTGTTAACTATTTTAATTGCTCCGCGAACTGTACATAATTACTTAACTTGCTACTTTTGTCACTTCGTACGTATCGTCCTAAATCAAAGGTGTCAAATGTAACACGCATAGGATACATTCAGGGAGTCTAGCACGAGTTTCGACATTTGTTTTCTTTCCCACTTTTCGAATAGGTATAAGTGCATTAAATCTTGTGGTCATAGCAGTGAATTTTAGAACGGATTGGTGTTGCGGCCCAAACCCGATTGTGATTGCTGAGTAAGGGAACTAGACAGGCAAAATAGTACTAGAACCTTTCAATTTTTGTATAAGTATTCTCAAAAACAGCACATTTTGCAACAGCAGATTTGTGGTCTGTGGTGATTATTAACCACTCGTATTAAATTTCCAGTTTTTATATACCTAACAATAGTTTTGTAAGACCTCATTACCCCACAACTACGATTATTGTATCAATTTCCATTGCTGTATTAATTAGGTAAGTATTTTATATTTACGGTAGTTTTAAAATTGTATATAGAGGTAGAAATGTACATATCATATAGATTTAAGTCGTATGTTATTAGAATTTAATTAAAGAGCAATATCGTATGCAATAAAAATATTACTTCTAATTTATCTGCAATTTTTATTAAAAAGTTTAAAGACCCAATTTTATTAATAAACAGTTCGCATTTCGTATAAATACATGTTTAATTAATAACAGAGTGACATAAGATTAACAACAAGTAACATAATCATATTGTTTTTTTTAATTTTTAAGAATTTTTGGTGCATTGTGCTCGAGGATAGTGGAGGTCGCAGTCAGCGCCTCCGAGGCCCAGGGCTGCAGCTCGAAGAGCTCCCAATGCTCCGCCACGAGTCCATGCCACACCTGCACTGTTGTTTAAAAACTTTTTACAACCCAGTCTAAAAAAAATATTTGTCTAATACAAAATATCTACCTACGTATGTTAATGCTCTGAAAAAATGTTCACATCTGTGATATTAGTCGCCGGCCGACGGCCGTCGGACAAGGCTCATGCTCGTGAATTCGTGATTGTATCGGAACGCTTGTGCAGCTAAAATTTGATCTGTGATTTGTTCGATATAATTTCCGAACAGATACTAACTACTGAGTAGGCACCTACTGAAGAAATTACCAGGAAAATAATGACTGTTTAATATTCTCATCAATAAAAAAGTCACCAGATACTTACTGCCACACTGGCAACCAGTACCAGTTTCCACCACGGAACTCTCGAGCTCGTTTGTTCCCTACACATAAGGCTCGGTACAGACAGGGTGTGGAGCGTGGTCGCAGGGCCAACAACGCATACCGCGCCATTGTATTCACGGCTGGAATGGACCTCTCTTGTGCATCCCGCTTTACGCGAAACACATCGTCAACGTTAACCGTGTCACCACTATTATCCACCATTTGCATTACTTGAGGTTGTTGTGGATTCTAAATGAAGAGAATAAAACATTATTTTCAATCGAGTTTAAAGAAATGGAACATTGTAAGTATGTTAAAAATGTTTTCGATGATGGTGCGCATAAACCTGGTTCCTCATCATATCAGCGCAAAACAGTTAGTGCAAAACATAGGACTCCATAGTAAGACAGTACGGTATCAAATTGGTTGATTTCACATAATAAGTAGCGAATAATTCACATGATATAAAATTTAGAATTGATCCAGATGTGTCCAAGACACACTTACCATAGTAATACACATGAGTACTTGTAGAATGAACATGCCAAAGGACAGGAAGGCGATACCAGTCAGTGATATGTCGAAGAGGTCAGCCAAGCCGAGACTGTGGCTGTCTCTCTCGACTGTGTACTCTTCCACGACGTGAGTCTGAGGCACGGCTGCTGGATGATGGTACAGAGGTGGCGGCGGTGGTGGCATCGAGTACTCGTAGCCACCACCTAGAATGGAAAAGTAAATATAATGAAGTCGGTTACAAAGAGTATAGGATATATTTTACTGCCTACTTTAAATTATCAGCCAGTTATATTAAATTGAATTTAATGAAACTTGATAAAACAGCCTCTTAGCATTTATTAACTAACTAATTACTTACCTACACTTTTAGGTACGACGATGTGTAAAATTGAAATAGGATATGTCTTTCATAAAGGTTTTAGATGAAAAGGTAAAAACCCAAAGGTAAAGTTGTACAAAGATTTTGGAGTGTGGTAAGATCCTTTAACTCGTATGTCTCGTATTATAATCTTGAATCTATGAATGCTATAATGGAAGTTTTGTTACCTTTCTCTATCTCAAAATCCACACCACCAGACTTCTGGATTATATCAATTTTGTTTTGCTCTGAACAAGAATATCGAAATATTTGTGAATAATCTCCTCATGTCATTTGAAGGAAATGGCCCATTGAATTTAAAATTATTCGGCAAAGAAGACAAACCGGTAAGTACAAAAACAAGAAGTACAACAATTAGACACATTTCTTTACCCTTACTATACTTAGCGATATCTTGTGCCGCTACATCAGGAGCCGTGTAACCTGTGAACTCCTTGCCACTTTCATAAACTTCATAACCTTCTCTAGTTTGTAAAGCAGGTGATTGCGGTGCCGACGGATCTCCTGCAAGTGTAGTGTTGTTTATACCAATATTTGTCGCCATGTTGGCTGCATTATGAACATCGTTGAGAGCTGCCACCCTGGAAATAAAAAACATTGGTATGTAGGTAAGTAAAGGTAATCTTTCACTGACTGTTTTATGGAGATGACTCGGATGAATCTTCCAACGACTATATAATGAAGCTGTTACCCGTGTTCCTTGTGGGCAAACTTAGACTCCAGGTTTATTATAACATCTTTCAATGTATATTGTAAACTGCGGTGCCAAAAAATCAGCTTCAGTTAACTGCGTCAACCGTTAAGAGCAGTAACAATAAATTATAGATACTCCGAGAAATGGAATATATTTTGAGAAGAACTTACTTGGCCAGCCATTCTTGGTAATTAGAGGACCCAACATCAAACATTACATTACTCCTTATGTCCTGTCTCCGAGACAACACGTTGTCTTTCACCTCACTAAAGGGTTTCCCTATCCTGTTTTGCAAGACACTTTTCCCCATCTCCTCCAAAATTTGATCAGCTATGTAATTTCGGCAATGGTATTCGTTCATCATTTTTCTGTGAAAATCAAAATTCAATCTTACTAACTTATAAACTTTAGTTTGTAGTATTTCAGCCTTTACCGTAAACCGATATAGACTAGACCGTCTCAAAATGATGCATCAAGGTAAATATTTCGATTACATTAAAATGTAATGGTACTGTATGATGTATGGTTAATCGTTATACTTACTTGGTGACACTTCCAACAAGAAAATCGCATTTGAATCCCCTAACTTGTTATTCATTCTACTAATCCTTCTCAGTTTGAGAACTGTAGTTAGTCCGTGGCTAATAAAGATGATGATGACGAATAATTACGTGATATAGAATTTCTGAATTCTTAATATAACCGCCTATGCTACAACAATCGTTGACAAACAAATCTTGGGTAGGTAATGCTTTGTACTAAACTGATTATGAAGGTACCTATAAGTTATACATTACCTGTGGAATCCTAGAGTAGATAACGCAGCATCAATAGACCCATTGATCGACTGTTCAACACTCTTATCTGCAGTCTTATTAAAACTTTCAACACTTTGATTTTCACTGCCCACCATAAAGTATGTCGGCATCAAATCCGAACGGAGTATATCATTCACATTTAATTCACTTTCAAACATTTTCGCTGACACTAACAAATATTTTATTCCAAACAAAATGTATATTTGAAACATGTTTGATGGTAAACAATTCATGTGTTCCTATATGAACAGTTTGCTAGCAAATGTCACAAGACCAACGTACCTAAGTTGGACAAGAGTATTATCCGAGTTATAAAGCGGATAATAGTCGGAGAAACGTTAAAGTTTAGATATTATCAATGTTCATAGCCGTAAATAAACTCACATACTTAAGTACCTACATAATTGTGGTAGATATGTGGGTATTTAGGTGTGAATGACTTCTCGGTATATCTTTAATCCACATTGTAGTATCAATATACCTAACATCACACCTTTTACTTATTTTCTGTAGGTTTTGTTACAGGTGCACAGTACATTATGTAGGTACCTACCTATTACCTAGATGTGTAAAACTCGCTTCTCGCTAATTACCTCTATATTATGTACAATGTAGTAGTAATAGGGCAAACCACATTACCATATACCACCATTCTAAAATCCATTACCATCCAACAATTTTCGAATCTTAATGATCAATTATCCCGAGAATCGAACTTGAAACCTTACCCTAGCCTACCTGAGTCGCGGAGAACCTAACGGGTAACCGGGGCTCCGGCTCTGCGTGCAGGAAAAGGAACGAGGTGGTTTTTAGTCAGTAAGAGTCTGACACGATTCGATGATTTTCCCCCTTAAAAGAAAAACCCTAGCCTACCTGCGGAGATGTTTATATCATTAAATGTAGTAAGTAAATGAACAAATAATTAAACTTATTTGGACCTTTTTGAACAACATCGTGTCCACTTTAGTAGGTACCTACTTAACTATCATCCGAAAAAATATCTACATTCAGGGAATTTAAGACATAGGGTAGTATCTATTTAGCTACCACACAAATAATTGGATAATTTTTATCCGCACTAATTCGCAAACACCTTTTAGGTGCCTATCTATTCTATTTACAAACGCCCTTTCAACCCCCGCTGCTCTTAAATACCCCTCTGAGGTAAGAGGATCCATTGTTGTATTACAAATGTTCGGATGTCATATTAGCGACGTTTGACGTGGGAACAAACCATATTGCCCCACCATTAAAAAGCTTTTTATCTGGTACGGGTAAAAACAGATTTTGGGGGACATTAATTAATTGATCTTGTTATAACAACATGATTATTTGTGTGGAAGCGACTGAGCACTTGTATAACTATGTAGAGGTACATACCTATAAATTGTAGAGATTTTTTAAAAGGCTTAAAATCATCGAATGACTCCTCCCGCCTGGGTGAGGCGCGAGGGAGTGTCAGACTCAGACTGCCTAAAAACCACCCCGTTCCTACTCCTGCACTTCGAGACGGAGCCCCTATAACCCGTTAGGTTCTCCGCGGCTCCGTATCGGTATCAGCCCTATTGGGCCCCATCCGTGGTAGTCTAATGGCTCTTTGAGACGCGCGAGGAACGCGACGCGCCGTACGCTCGGGTCCGGTCTAGTCTAGTAGTCGGGCGGCGAGCCACCCGTGCTCGTCGTCCGCAGGCCCGCGTTTACGGTGGCCGGAGATCGTAACTTCTAGAGAAAAGGTTGAAAACCACAAATTATATGCAGGACTGCAGGTACTACTTTCCTACTACGAAACATGTTTATATAGCATCAGACATCATCAGGTTGTTATCTACGGACATCCTTCGCATCAGAGAAGTTACAATATGTGCGTGCTGGCATTTTGGATTGTGGGAATACTTAGGTCTTCGTTCGGTAACCTCACTCACTCGATTAAATACAAGCGTTTTTAAGGCCATGGTACTTCGGTCGAGCTTGTCCATTGGTGCGCTTTACGCTTTTATATGCCTCTCCAAATTAAAAGTAGGTACCTATGCACTTTTAACTTTTTTTTGAGGAAGGAAAATCACTCAATGCGTTTACCGGCCTTGGGTGACGAGAGAGAGAGAGAGAGGTAGTTTTTTTTTAAGGGGGGAAAATCATCGAATTGATGCTCCCGCCTGGGTGAGGCGGGAGGGAGTGTCAGACTCTTACTGACTAAAAACCACCCCGTTCCTTCTCCTGCACGTCGAGCCGGAGCCCCGGTTACCCGTTAGGTTCTCCGCGACGAGAGAGAGGTAGTGCAAACTCTCTGACTAAAAACCACTCCGTTTCTCCTCCTGAATCGAGCTGGAGTCTTGGTAACCCGTTAAGTTGTCTATAGGTCTGGGAGCACATTTACCCATTATTGATTGCTTATTTAGTAATTTGCGAACTTTATTGATATAAGTACCTATTTATAATTTTGTCTTAGCTTGATTTTATCAGTATTCATGTGAATCTGTAAGTGGCTCAATGTAGTCAATGTTACTGTTTTTCTGCTAAATTGGTGTAATGTAGCTGATAATTCACATTCATAATAAATAAATAAATAAAAAAAACTTAAAATTTACTTATAATGTGAAAATGTGTGCTTACGAATTAACAATCCTAATATCTAAAGCCTCCTGATCGATTTTGATCGATGTGTGGATATACTCAATGCAGTTTCCTCTCTCTATCTAGGTATTTAAAAAAATATCAAAAACTGTATCGTAGTTCTATATATTCTAGAGAATAGATCTAAGTTGGACCTAAGCACGATCTAAGCATAGACGTACAATAAGCAGACCGAACATTAATTCCTAGATAAACGTATATGATATACATCATTCTTTGTCCTTGTTCTGACTAGTACCAACCTCATAATGGCATCTCGTTCTTTTACCTGTAGCAACACTGCTCCACACATAGACAAATATTGACATGTAGTAAGTTTTTCGCGTGCCGCCATATTGCTATCTGTGTCTACAACTGTGGTATTCTCGTTATAAAAGAAAATATTAATTGTTTCTACCGTTAAACGTTTAAATAATCTAAAATAAAATAGTGGAGTGCAGTGCGTACCGATGTGACAGCAATAGCTATAAGGAAATACTTGGAATAACATTTCATCGCTAAATTTTTACTTACGTTGTTGTAGATTAAAACAAATTGTCGAGTTTATTTTAATAAATCAACTGTTTTGATAATGTTTAGTCGTTTATAACAAAGCTTTATCGACTATCACACTATTTGTCCATATGTTTACTTAGAATACAATGTACAAAAATAATCCTTATCCTTACTAGTAGTATTATAAATCGGAAAGTGAGTTTGTTTGTTCGTTTGTTCCGCTTTCAAGCTGTAACTACTAAACCGATTGCTTTTTTATCCCGAAAAATTTGATATTCTCGAGGGAAAACGAAATTATTGGTATAGATGGCGCTGTGTGTATTGGTATATGTCACATAGGCTACTTTTTATCCTTTTGTGACGCGAGCGAAGCTAAAAGCTAGCTAAGGGTAAAAGCTAGTAAACCAATAAAACCAACTTAATTTTTCATTCATGACAGTTTAAGTAGGTATTTGTAAAACCAACAGAAGACGAATTTAGTGTTTCGAAAAGTAAAGTATAACATTTGTTTTTTTACAATTGTTTTACTAAAATCGCGTGTTACTTACGTGAATATACTGAGAAAAGCTCTACCAGATTCGAACCATGTATTATAATTGTTATATTATATGTACCCACTATGTATCAGTTTTGCCACAATTGCCTATTATCATCAAATAATATCACCATATACCTGAAATGGGATTGTACAACAACATTTAACAGGACAGGAGAAGGAAATAACTTGCCTTAGGAGTGGTCAGTGTTATGGAGGGGAGGGAGATAAATATTACCTGCTATTCATAACCATAACAATTGCCTTAATAAAATTATTACTTACTCTCCCTTCAACGCTAAGTATATTATGAGGATATTGAAATTCTTTAATAAATACCTACGTATTAAATATTTTTTACAGTTCCTAAATACCTAATTTCGGAACATAGGATTCTCATATATTTCCGGTAACACATACATAAAAATTATAGTAATAATGGATATTCATTCAGTATTCATAAATATTGACTAATTATCCCAAAACACGCTTATCTCTATGTAGGGTATAATAATAATGTTCTTTATTTCTAATGCCGACCTTAGTCCGGCCCCGTTTAAGGTAATGTTAGGTCGGCTTGTCTATTTTAAGTCTGTGGATCTCAGCATGTAAGGGGCAAGCGTATTTGTTTCATAATACTATGTAGTACTATTACTTGTAACGTAAATCTTTGATACATATTTAAAGAAAATTTAAATGAAATTAGACTAAAAAAAAAATATTTCGTTCTTAGAGTGAAAACATGGCACTATGAATAATACTTGTTTATAGTCTGTACCAGCCTTAAGAAAAAGACCTGTCGTAAAATTATCTCTGGCTCGTATTTCAATATTTCTGTTTCTGTGTATAGTCTGTGGTGCCATCCTAAAGACGAAACGAGAAATCTATAAAAAAATATTTTTTATGAAAATATCCTACAAATTCAGTAATAACTGATATTTTGAGATGTGAAATCATATAATTAATTTACAATATTTCTACAATCAGTCAAAAATGGGCACTAACGGCAATGGTCGTCGCGGAGGAACGAAAATACCTGATGTTCGCCGCCCTATGGAAGAAGGGGATTGCGTTAACGACATGGAGAGTCCCGAACTTGACTTCGTTTATGATGATTGTGATACTCAAGCCAATGAAATAGCTGAGTTATACAGCTATACTGAACATCCAGAGTATCAACTCAACGTCAAGGCATTTGAAGACATCATGGAAGACTTCAATTTTCCTCCAAGCTGGCAAAGATTGACAAATAAACAGCAACGTACTGTGATAATGAAGTTATTGGAGCACTTGGATGTGGCTGTCAGTGAGATACGTATGCGTGCAACCCGTTGTATACTGTATTTAGCTCAGGGATGCTGGGCGGAGATGCAGTCTGATGCTGAGCAGGCTCACTGGGCGCGCGTCAACGTTATGACGTTGTACGACATGGGCACATTTTCTGCCTTCGTTGAATTATTGAATCTCGAAATAGTTCGCAGTAGTTCTGCAATAGCTTCCAGGAAACTAGCAGAATCTCTGGCGGACTCTACTAACTTACGAGTTATCTTGTCTGTTCTATACCTCATCACGGAATACATGAGAACTGAGAAGGACAATCCTGAATCTGAGTTCAAACATTTGGTTAAAAACTTTAAAGAAGAACTGGGTTCTCCATTTGGTGAAGAGTTGCTACCTGTAAAACTCCTAAGCATGGTAACACATCTTTGTGCAGGAACCACTCCACATTTTCCTATGAAAAAAGTGTTACTTCTTCTATGGAAAGTTCTACTTGTTTATTTAGGAGGCTCAAAGGAGTTAAAAGAAAGAAAGACTAGACTTAGAGAGAAATATAATCTTCCACCTTCATCAGAAGATACTATAGAAATAGTTAAAGGTATGAGAGCCAGTTCTCCTCCTCCAAGTGCGGCTGATATGTTGGAAAACCAAAATCCGGGCCAGAGAAAGTTGCTAAAAGAAAATGATAGGGAGGGAAAAATTCGCAGGCACCTTTTTATGAAACAAACTTCACTAGATGAGTCTGATGAGCAAATTTTTGTGGACAAGGAAGAAACCGGTAATGGCTCAGAAGATTACTCTATGGAATTTCAATCCATACCAAGCGAGGGTGGTCAATCTGAGAACAACCCTAACTGTCCTTATTACATGTATTTCAAACAGTTTGACAGTCCTCCTCCACCACCACCTCTTCCTAGAAGTCTTCCTTGGCAATCAAAAGTACGTCAAAAAGACATTGACACATTTCTTGACAATGTACGTATTAAGTTTGTTGGATACTCCCTTCCTGGAGATAGGCAGACAACTGCAGGACTGCCTCAGCCCATTCATGAGGGAATAGACATTCTCAAAAAACATGTTTACACTAGTCTTTCAGAATTGCAAGCAGAAAGAGAACTTGAAATTGCTCGCAGTCCTCTTACTAAAGGAGAAAAAGAGGTTGAAGACACAGAAGTTGAAATACTGTACAGAGCTATGTTTCCTAATTTGCCACAATACATGATTGCACTGCTTAAAATTCTTCTAGCCGCAGCACCTACATCAACTGCTAAAACATATTCTATCAACATAATGGCTGATTTATTGCCTGAGGAGATGCCCATGACTGTACTTCAATCACTCAAACTTGGTATTGATGTTAACAGGCATAAAGAAATTATAGTTAAAGCAGTGACTGCTATATTGTTATTGCTTTTGAAACATTTTAAATTAAATCATGTATACCAATTTGAGTTCATGTCTCAGCATCTTGTTTATGCCAATTGCATGCCTTTAGTGCTAAAATTCTTCAATCAAAACATTTTGTCATATGTTGGAGCTAAGAACTCTATACCCATATTTGATTTTCCAGCCTGTGTGATTGGAGAACAGCCAGAATTGACTAAAGAATGTTTAGATATTGGAGATTCTACTGTTCCATACTCATGGAGAAATGTTTTTTCATGCATCAATTTGCTGAGAATTTTAAATAAGTTAACTAAATGGAAAAATGCAAGAATTATGATGCTTGTTGTTTTCAAAAGTGCACCTATTTTAAAACGCACATTGAAAGTGAGACATGCATTGATGCAATTTTATGTATTGAAATTACTGAAAATGCAGACTAAGTACCTGGGTCGTCAATGGAGAAAAACAAATATGAAAACAATCAGTGCAATATATTCTAAGGTTCGTCACAGATTGAACGATGACTGGGCTTTTGGTAATGATGTTGATGCAAGACCATGGGAATTCCAAGATGAGGAGTGTGCTCTGAGAGTATGTGTGGATCGTTTTAATTCTAGGAGGTATGGCAGTGGTGGAGACCAAGAAATAGATTTGACACCTCTTGAGACCGACATAAACAGTGTACTGGAAACCAACATTGAACTTGATGAAGAGTTCAAACATAACTATGAATTATGGCTTGAGCAAGAAGTTTATAATAATGAAATAAACTGGGATGTATTATTGACTGCATGAAGTTTCATAAAACTCATTCAAATTAATGCAAACCAATTTGAGTTTTTGTACAGTTAGTTTATAATTTTAAATATCCACTATTTCATTCAGAAATATTTTATTGAATAGATAAATTTCATATAATAACTTTATTAACTTTTTTCTTTATAAATCTGTCTACTTAGTAGTTACTTAATTAAGTTACACATTGTTTTTTTATATTTAAAATAAAACTATCATGACAGACTCATATTACATAAAGTAAATTACATTATAGTATTAACTCAAAGTTAAATTATGAATATGCATTATCTTAGTCAAATTAGACGTGAAATGTGTGTATTTTAATGTAGTTTAATATTTAGAGCTTGTGGATAATGAAATATAATAAATCGTTTGTATTTAAATAGTAACTAGATCAATATAGAACAGAACTGAACATAACATTTTGTTTTACAATAAAATTTCTTATACCTATAATGAAATTGGAGGATTTGTTAACATTTTAGGATCTTCAACAAGCTTGACCTACCTACGTAATTTAATTAAAAACCGACATTTAAATAAAAAACGTAAATAGATATTTTGTGTTTTGGATCTGTATACACCCTCATGGAATGTAACTTAAATAAATGTATACATCTACAAAGTGGTATTACTTTTTAAAAATTACTTTTGCACCTTTAACTATTGAATGGAAACAACTCGATTCTCTATTGCTTTTCACAATTGCACATATAAGTGCAACATTTAAAATAATTTAAATAGAAAATTAATTATGAACCCTGTTGGGCACACCGCACAGCAACAACACAGAAACAGGAGACAGGATGGTCATGCAGGTACCACAGATGGGGCACAATACCACAAATGGGGCCCAATACCACAAAGTGAAGGAGTAGGAACGGCCCGTTCCTACTCCTCCGTACTAAAACCACCCCGTTCCGAACGGGGTGGTTTTAGTCAGTAAGAGTCTGACACCAAAGGCGGGGAGAATCATTCGATGATTTTCCTCCCTTAAAAATGGATGGTCTATCATTAATCTAGCAAATTTTTCGTTATTTTTTTACTGCTTCCTCGGTCGAGTGGTCATTTGAAAGTTTCCAGTTCGATTCTCAGTTTATTGTAGTTTCTAAACGTGAGAAATTTTGAGAAGAAAATCATTCAGCACTCGAACACTCGAAATCTAACAATAAGCTGAAAAGCCCTTCGCGGGGCAAGAAATAATGGGATAGAAATAATAATAATATGAATTTTACTAGTAGTGCCATCTATTATGCTTTATTTTGATTTTATTTATTTTTTTATATTTACGATTTAGATGTCGCTACAGTAGATTAAATAAATCTTGTTCAATATCTACAAAATAGTGTTAGTGTACCTACCAAAATAGCCTACGTTACAATTGTTTAACTAATCAATTATTTTTAAAGTAACGAGTAATTTAGATTTTTAGGTGGTACCAATGCAAAAAATAATTACTTATTTCTAATTTGTCATAGATCTAATATTCTGTGTAATTTGTAAATAGAATGGTAACCCTGACATTCCTGTCACTTTAACGCAACGTCCCACCCAAAACTTGATTGTATTTTGTGTTTTCTTTTCAATTTATTGTTAATCTGCTGATTATCAAGTCGATTTAGAAAGAATTTGTAATTTGTGACGATGTACTAAAACTGTTTTAAGTTTACAGAGATACCTAAGACAAGGTAAATATTTGTAAGCCTTTCCCTAACTTCCTGTGGGTCACAATCCTGACGTATTTATCATATCCTCAATTTGTAATTTCTGCTGAACATTTTAATCATATACTATGAATAATTTTATTGTACATAATAACTGAATTTTAATTTTAGGAACAACAAAATGGCTGAATTAGCAGCATTACTACAAACTGAGATCCCCGAGGGGCGCAGCCATCTAACAGACAGCCACACTAATCTAGAACGTGTGGCTGATTACTGCGAGGCGAATTATTTTCAGTCAGAAAATAAAAGGCTGGCTCTGGAGAGCACCAAAAACTACACAACACAATCACTTGCTAGTGTTGCATATCAAATAAATACACTTGCTTACAACTTCCTGCAATTGCTTGAATTACAAACAATGCAGTTGGCGGAGATGGAAGGACAAATGAACCATATTGCCCAAACTGTGGCCATTCACAAGGAGAAGGTGGCTAGACGAGAAATTGGAGTGTTGACTGCAAATAAGGTGACTAACAGGCAGTACAAAATCATTGCTCCTGCTAACCCTGAGAAACCTATCAAATATGTGAGGAAGAGTATTGATTACACAGGTATGGGAAGACTAATAATGTCTTATAAGAATTATAAAATTAGTTAATTTACGTCTAGTGTGGAACTTGAATAATTTATTTCAATTTTATGGGACCAAATAGGCAAGCGATCCATTCCTTCATGAAGTTATTTGCCCATTCCAAAATGTAGATTACTTTATTGTATCACGGGAGAACAATATAACATCAGCATTTTACCATCAACAGGAAAAGGGTATTAGATAATCATATTCAATTTTACTTCTCAATATCTCAATAGCTCTGGATGATATTGGCCATGGTGCTCGCTGGAATGGAGCTACAAGTGGAACTCCAAGAGGTCGGCGATCAGGCTCTACTCCTAGTGCGGCAACACTACCCGCACCCACCACGAAGCCGCCCACACCTCCAGCTGCTGTGCGAGCTGCTGCAGCTGCTAATACTGGGACATTAGGTCGTGGTACATTGGGTAAAACATTGTTACACCATACCTATCCTGTTATATTTTGCAGTGTATTTAAACTCTACATTATGCAAAAAACAACTTATGAACTGCTTTGTATGCTGGTACATCAATTATGGATTATTAACATTTTTAAAGTATGTATCAACTTAAAGGTAGAACAAATTAAGATGTCTACAAAAACCGATTTTATAAACAGGTAAATCTTCACGTGAATACCGCACACCGCCAGCTGTGGCCCCGCCGCAAGTGCCTTCGCACTATGCGCCAAATTATCCGCGTCGCCCGCCTGGCTACTCTACTTTGCCTGTAGCACAACCACAGGTATGTAAGACACTCAACAAACACACTGAATGAAGATAAATGATCTTGAGTAAAGACCTAGAAAAAACATGGAATGAAACTCAAGGTTAGTCTTTTTGATGCCCAGTCACAAAGTATGTCATGGAAGTGGAGAAGTAACTTTAATCTGCAATTAAAATATACTTACCAGTCATATTTGATTTGTTTTCAGGTGGGGATGGTGCATCCCAACCAGCATCAAGCTACTTCCAACTATTCTCAACAAGATTTGCATTCCAGTATGCCACGTTAGTATTTATTTGAATACAAACATCTTGCAAAATATAAATGAAATATTTTGTTGCAGTCCCAAGCTTCAAGAGTTTAAACCCATAATTAATAAATTGTTTTCTGTTTCCAGCACCACCCTCTCCTCTGATTGGGTCTGATGGTGAACACAGCCAACATTCCATGAGCCTGCCTGGGCAGGTTAGTATTGTTTCTCTTTGAGACTTGGTCGTAAATATTAGCGTCCATAATACTTCAGTATATCATAAATCTAGTACAATTTTTATTCCAAGATAGGAAACTTTTATATTTATTGTCATTTCTTTTGAATAGATCCAATAGCCAAACATCAGCAATAGGGAAGCCGTGAGTTTAAATATTACCCCCATTGCACTATTGTAGTGATCCTCCTTCTAGTACAGTTTGCATTTATTTCATCAATGTTATGGTTAAGACTGAAGTGTGACGGTACTTTGGGATATTTTGGCTACAATTATGTTCTATGCACATTGCACACAATAAATGCATGGCCAACCCATTATCATTGTATCAGTGGTTGACCTAATTCTTGTTGTTGTCACGTCAACCTAACACAAGTATGGAGTTATAAGTACTTTATTAATTCTTACCTGCCCCTAGTTGGATTTTCACCAACTACTCCCGGTTCTTCAACTACATTTGAATATAGCCATTCTTCAGTTTATTTTTTATTCCAAAACTATTTGTACTTTTGCATATTGCAAAGCAGACATGATGAATAATATAATACGGTACTAATATTGCAACAATTCCAGCGTGCGTCATCGTCTTCAGCTGGAGGAGGTTCCATTAGGGGTGGATCGGTGTCTCCTCCACTGCCTCCACCACCGATGGACGATGAGTTGGCGCATGACGGCTTTGGAAGACCTCACCATATGAATGTAAGCTTGCCTTCTGTTGCAGTCAGCCATTGACTTTTAAGAATGAATAAAACTTGTATTCTTTAACATGCTGCTGTGATCTCTTTCAGAGCAAGATGGGAGCTCCCTACTCAAATGCGGTACCCGCCATAGTACCTGACGAAGAAGACTTACCTGGATGGGTGCCCAAGAATTACATTGAGAAAGGTAATAATTATTACACTAAAAGCAAATCTTCAATTACTATACACAACTGAAAATAATTTGTTTCTGTATTCTGTTGTTACAGTTGTCGCTATTTACGATTACTATGCTGACAAAGAAGACGAATTATCATTCCAAGAGAGTGCAGTAATTTATGTGTTGAAGAAGAATGATGATGGTTGGTGGGAGGGCGTTATGGACGGTGTCACGGGACTCTTCCCAGGAAACTACGTGGAACCTTGTGTGTAATCAGATTCTACAAATTTTACCTATAGATGCCTCTGAAGTAAACTAGGCTATGATTACACATAATGTACTGCTATTGTTACTCAACAGTAAATATCCCATCGGTATAAATACAAGTTTGTATCAATATAAATTAACCCTTAATAGGGCATGCTAAAACTATGTATGTCTGAAACTTTTTCATTACAAAAATGTGATTATGTATGTATACAGATGTAGGATTGTATATCACCACATCTGTAGTTATTTTCGTTTTCTCAAAAAAACATGTGGGAAAATATTTCCCTTTGCCCATCTTAAACATTGTCTTTTACTGAATGTGGGAAAATGTTTCCCAGGCGGTGGGAAATATATTTCAGTCACATTAGGTAGTATAGTCTGGTGTGATTTATTCCATGAAATATTTACAAGTAAATAAAATACTGTAATGAAAGTTAAGTATCTTTATTGGGTGTGAAAGTTATAGAAACAAGGCGCAGCGCACAATGGCACTTTACAAACTTTACATATATATTTCGTTCTTTGTTCTTTAGCTCGCGTGCTGCACATCCTGCACCTTCTAAATTTTGCTAATTGAGGCATGTGGGAGCCAACATCTGATGTTCGCACCTCTTCAGGTACTGAGTTTGCACCTCCTTTTTTGGTCTTGAAGACTGGGGCTTGACATTTTCGAGATGAAAAATTGTTTATGAGGCCCCTGCCTAAACGTAAGCGAAAGTCTTTATGTGTGTTTCTCCTTGTTGAATGAGACATCATATAAACAATGTATGCATTTATAACTGCAGCCTCGAGCAGGAACCAGAAGAGTCGGTGCCAATTCTTGCGAGATTTACGACCAAGAGGATATGACGCCCTGTAGTGATCAAAATGATCTACTCCACCCATGAATTGGGTATATTTTGTTATGGAAAGTGGGCAAAACATTGGCTTCTTGCTACCATCTTTCTGTTTCCTCCATATTAGTTCAACTGCTCGTGGATCAAATGCAGAGCTTGCAACGAAAACATCCTTGGTATCCCTCCATTTCACCACTGATATTGGTGCAGCACATTGGTATATAAACTCTCCAGGTTTCAAAGACGTTTCCTTTTTTTCTTCTCTATTTAAATTTCTCCCTGTTATGAAATCTGGTAAGCCTTTCCGGTTTATTCTAATTGTTCCAACACTGTAAATATCTTTCTCATGTAAAATTTCCATCAAAGGAAGACTGGTAAAGAAATTGTCAAACACAACAAGTGTATTACCTGGCAAAGATTCACACAGGTCCATCACTACTCTGGCCCCTAAATTCTCCTCTGTTCCATTATCAATCCTTCCAGTATAAAACTGAAATTCATACATATAACCTGTACGGGAATCAGCCCTCACCCAACATTTGTATCCACGTTTAATGGGCTTTTTAGGCATGTATTGTTTCATATGACTACGGCCTTTAAACCTTATCATACTTTCATCAATTGAATTAAATTCAGAGACTTTTACATTTTCCTTAAAAGTTTTGTTCAGAACTTCAATAGCAGGTCTAATTTTCGACAATTTATCATAATTTGGGGTGTTTTGTGAAGCTTCAGTAATAATGTTTGATATGTGAAGGTTTTGTGTTATTTTTTTGAATCTTTTTAATGGCATAGGTTTGCTTATGACTGGGTTTCTGTAAAATTCATCTGTCGACCAATATGTAGTTATATCGGACAAGGGATTTATACTCATCAGTATAATCATACCAAAGTATGCTTTTATCTCTTCTTTCGTAACATTTTTCCAAGATTTAGCATTTTTGTGATGTGCATAAATATTTGTGTTCTCAACTATTACATCAATCAAGTCTTCTGGAAAATAATCAATGAAATAATCAAGCGGTTGACTTCGGTTAGTGTATAGTTTCTTAACTTGCATTTCTCTGTGAAAACTAGGCCAATTAATATTCTCAGCTGTAAAAGACCAATTTCTTGCCTTATTTTGTAACTGACTAAATGTATCTCTACAAAAAACTGATTTTGGTTCAGGATGATTTTGTTCACCTGGCAAAGAATTGTTTGGTATTGAAGCAGTGCCTGCTTGGACTTCATTCAATGGTAATGAAGAAGGGCCTGCTTGTCTTTCATCCAATGGTAATGAAGAAGGGCCGGCTTGTCTTTCTAAAGCTATCAAAGGAGTACCTGCTTGAGATTCTACCATTGTAACATCTTGTGGTATTGAACCAATATTTACCATTGTTTCTGGGACAGTAAACTCTTGAATTGTGATACTTTCTTGGACTTGTTGTTCATGTGATACTGGTGAAGTAATATGTGTTTCATCTTGTATTGACGAAAAATCAGACTCACCCAACAGTATACTATGTAAACCTTCAGTCGTTAGATTTTGAATTTCGTCCAACCGTCGGTCGTAATCCACCGAGTAAAAATCTGTGGCACAAGAATCAAATACATCATCATCAAACCCTTCTTCTTCCGATGAAAACAAGGCAGCCAATTGACCTTCAATTTCCGAATCTTTAAGAGGTTTCTGAAAAGTAAAACGCACAAAATGGATATCGAAAATAGTACATTTGTTACAGGGAAACAGTTTCCCACTTGGTTTTTACATACGCGAACCTAAACGGGCAACATGAAAATATTTCCCACACATTTTCAACGCCTAAAACTCAAGTATCAATTGTTTATTTGGCTTATAAAAATGATAAACAAGTAAACTAACTCAAAACCTAATGAAAATTATTTGAAATAAACACTTACCGAATTTTTTCTCGACATTATTACAATAATTGTGCAAACAACCGGTAAACATCAGCAAATTCATTGACGATCTTGCCAACTTTGACTTTGACAGATGTTTTTTTTTTCTGCGTTCCATTTTACGGTGTGCGTTTGGCACAGACCATAAATTACTTATTAAAAAAAAAGTAGAAGTGACATTTTGTGGGAACAGTTTACTTATTGACCGTTCACAACACGAAATATTATGTGGGAATAATATCAAGTTTGTATCAATATAAATTAAAATACAATAAGCTTTGTAACTAATATCTTTAGATACCTTTTCGGGACTATAAATCATGTCAATAAATTAGTATAGATTTTTCTTCCAAATAAATTTCCAATACTATTTAAGATTTTGTATAATTCAAATAAAGTAAATTGAATTTATATTCAACTACTATTAAGTTCAAATGTATTATTTAAAATGATATTTTCCGCATATTATTTAGGAGAAATTAATATAAATTACGATAAAACAAATCATGTTATTAATATTTATCTTATTTTCTGAAGGAACATTAAATTAATAATTTCACAAATCCGTAGTTTGAATTTAATTTCTTCGTAGCCTATCATCTACAAGAAAACAAGCAAAACAAAATAAATAAAAACATCTTTGTCATTTGTGAATTTTTATTGATGCATTTAAATGCACAGATACTTAAATCTAATCCAATAAAAACAGTTTTCTCGAATACACTACCACAATATGAAATGTCACACACATTCAAAATAATTTGTAAAATCACCCCATATTGACATAAGTTCACGATAAGTACTTTGTTATTGGACAAAAATATTCAACTAAAGATGTAGTATACATTGCTGCACAATAAAATTCTATTGGATACATCAATATTGTAATTTGGTAAAGAAAATACGTTCTCATGAAGATGAGCTACCAGAATACAAGTACTACAGAAATCAATTATTTAAATTGCGACAAAAGATGTTAATTTGTGCACACTTTGACTAGTTTTATCAATGTAAAACTATGGTTTTGAACCTGCGATTGGTCATACACAACTAATTAAGTTTTAGGCCCCAACATTTTCTATAACACCAGCTATGTATACCTGAACCAACCAGCTAACAGCTCGAACAACAGATATACCAGCAGTATATAAAAACTGGACGAACTTTTAAGTAATCAATTTGACCCTCTTATAAATATAATTGTATAATCGTAAATGCAGCTCAAAAAATAGGTTAATATTGCAATCATGTGCCTAATTTGTTAACGTTATATTTGGAAGAAAACTGGAAAATACTGGCTACACATTGTTTGTAATGAATTTGGTATAGTCCATTGAAATTTATCAACATTTTCTGTTTATTGCTTTTTGAAGTTATAGTTATTTACGAGTAGAACAACTCTGAGACAAATAGTTACAACTAATGTTTTACTCTATTAAATTAATCATATTATAAAAAAAAAACATGTTAAAAAACCGTCAAAACTAGCTTTCAACATCTATTTGAGACTTCTATTCCTTATCATCTAGTTCCATATTTTCTGCTGTTGAACTCTCACTGTCTTGCGTTTTAGTGCTAGGTGCAGGTTTCTTTACCTCTTCAGTTTTCTCCTCGGTTTTTGGTGCAGGTTCAGTATTAATTGTAGTGGTATCTTTTTTTTCTTGTTTCTCACTGGTGGTTTCTTTTTTAGAATCCTTTGAATTTCTATAAAAAAAAAGATTAAAATCTATATGCATATTTCAAAAAACTTCAATTTGTTCTGATGAATGAAGTTAACTTACTGTGAGGGTCCATTGACAATTTCTACAACATCGTCGTCTTCATATTTGATGTTGACTACAGCTTCAACTTTAGTTTGAATACTCTTCAAAGCTGAATGGAATATTTTGGAGCTCGCCTGAAAGACAGAAAATAAATTAGTAAGCATATCATAGAACAACAGATCGTGGTCAGCGTGGTCTCAATTTCACTAGAGATATTTTATTAGGAAATAATAGTTACCGTAAGCGAGGCTATTCTTGCTCGTGCAGCGGTGAGGCTGGCGCTAAGGTCAGATACTTGTGTTTGTGCTCCACGCTCTGCTTGTTGCGTGCTGGCTGCAGCAGCCCGGGCGGCGCGCAGTGCAGCTCGAGTACTCTCCAGCGCGCCCTCAAGACGAGCGCGACTCGCTGCACTACGAGCCTCAGCCTTTACCAATGCCCCTACATCTACCAATCTAGACTTGTACATTACCATACCTGTAATAAAACAAAAACAATAAGATCAAAGTAATAAATATACATCCTGACCAATATTTAACAATGTTAACTAATAGATTAAAATATTACCAGATTCACTGACGTCCTTTGTTTCACTAGATTTCCCACCATCTTCACTTGTTGCATTAAATATTGGAAGCAAGTTGCGGTTTCCTGCTGCTATGGTTTCTTCTAATTCTGCAATCTGTTTTTTTTTTCATTAGTAAAAGTTTCTACCATATTAAGATGGCAAAGAATATTACTATGGCTGTAAACTTACATGTGTAGGCACATCATTGTTTGAAATCGCGGTCTCAAGTGGCATATCTTGCATTACATCTGTTGATCCAGATGAAACATCTCGAATGGCTTGGATCAATGTCCTAAAAAGGATAATATTAAAATAAGTCTTTTACCATTAACATTTACACATTTAATTGCATTATAAGGTAAATTGA